AGCAATGAAGTTACATTTATTTCAAATAATTCCTTTGTTGTTTGTTTGAAAGTTTTTAATAAAGGTTTTTGAAAAAAGTTTCACAGCGACCAGCATCCTGGCATGCGTTGCAATCGATGATGCAATGCTCCCTGTCTCATTTCGGCAATTATATGCACACTTGTGTACTACGCACTTGAACCCTACAGCACACTTTCTCCAAGTGCACTTTGCTGAAGTTGGGCAGGGCGCAGTGCGAGTATTATGATTCGGCCTCAGAGTATAGGATTTGGACTTCCTGATATTTGCACATCTTGCCTGTGATTGGCTTACAGCAGCGCGACTCTACCAATGTCTGTTTGCGCTGCAACGTTGATGTTTTATCCACAAATAACACACGCCTGAATGAGTTCTGCTGTGTGGGGAATTTGCGCTTAGTTTCTAGTAGTCAAGATGTTTGCTGCTGTTTCCTGGACGCTAAACTAACAACAGCCTTCCCCATCACGAGTCAAGATGGGTGAGTCCATAAATGTTATGGGGCAGTGTGACGTAGATCTGTCAGGCCTTTCTAATCATAGAGTTTCACCGTCTATTTTGTATAAGAGGTTAATGCAGGGAATAAGTGTAGAAGAATATTTTCATTTTCAGCCTGCATGAAAAATTCAAAGTGACCGATTATAATCAGAAATGATAATTTAAAAAAATATTTTTTTTTCATTGAACCGCACCACTTTTAAATGGCTCATTGTGGAAGGTACTAAAACAGTCAAGATCAAAACTGCTGAAATAATTTTTATGAGAAAGGGTTTTTGTTCAAAGAACTTCATAAACATGTTTTGTACCAACCATAGAGCTATTATTACTAAAATAAAATCATAATATGTCCCCTTTAATGCTGGTTTTAAACCGATACTGGTCTTGTCCTAACTTTACTAACCCAACTGTTAGATAGTTTTGTGTAAGCACTGATCAGGTGTCACAAACATTAAGCTTCAAAGGAAGAAATAGCGTTAGACATTGACTAAGGTGGAGGGTAAATGTGGATGTGTGTGTGTGTGCGTGCGTGCGTGTGTGTGTGTGTGTGTGTGTGTGTGAGAGAGAGAGAGAGAGAGAGAGAGAGAGAGAGAGAGAGAGAGAGAGAGAGAGAGAGAGAGAGAGAGATGGGTGGTCTTGGCAGGGGGTATCAAGCTAATTAAAGCAAGCATTTGTCAGAGATTAGGCCTTAAACAGAAAAGGTCATCTGAGCACAAGTGCGCACTGTTTCGCTGCTGTGCTCTAAGGGCAATCTAAACCTTTCCAAGCTAAATGGTAAAGATGCTATTTGAAGTTGGGGGAGGGGATTGAGATCCCAACCAGTGACAAGACTGACACTTGGGTCATTGGTTCTTCACTGTCCATTACACATGCTGGTCAAATCTGGCAATCGGTGTCATTTAGGGATGAAAAATAAGTGCTGGAACAAGATCAATAGACAAAGCCGTCTGTACCAGCAGTGATTAATTGACTGTCTCCAATTAATGACTGGTCACTCGCAAAACAATACAATCTCAGTGGTCCAAAAGGCATTTCCTACACTTCAGCCTGATATTGTTTATTTTAGAACTAGTTTCCTCTGAAAAAATTAATCATTTTCTACTGCAGCACACAGAAAGGTATTTCTGAAAGGATCTGGTGTTTCTGACCCTGTTTGAATTAATTTGCAATATTCAGATGAAGGTTTCCCCGAATTAATGCACACAAAAATATGTTTTTAACTCTCAGTGACGGTTTCTAAAAATACTTGAATATCTACTTTATTGTTTTTTTCTGCTGATTCTTTTTCATAATACAGAGTTAGTGACACAGACTAATGCCATGTAAATGGATGCATTTAGGTCTGTCATTTATTTAACCTAAACATGTTTGTCACATACATTCATCTGAGCATCATCTGATAAAACCACTTCAGGTATGAAAAATGAGTGAGAACAAGTGGTGGCTTGGTGCATTCAATAGGCCACTGAAAACAATCAAACAAGTACTGATGATGTTTTTAATCTGGGATCAGTGTACAAGGTTAGTTTGCACTCAGTCAATTCTAATCCAATTACATCCTGAGAAGATGTCCTGGTTTTAGATACGATGAAGCACAGGACATGCAGCTTTAGATATAAGTAATGGCCTTTCGGGTTTGGACTGTGGTAGAAATGAAATCTGAAATATTTTCACTAGGATGTATGCTAATCTTAGACCATGCTGTTTTGTCGGTCATAAATCATATAATGTTTACCTGAAACAAGACTTGCAAAGTAATACCATCCTGAAACTCTTATATTGGAAGAATTGTAATGTCCAACTGCAATCTAAGTAATATAAAAGAGTGGAATGATTATGATTTAACTGAATTTTGTTGCTTTTCAAGAAAACATTAAAGAGGCTAAACTATTCAAGTCAACTTTTCTTCTATAGCACTTTGCAACAGCATAAAAGCTGACCAAAGTGCTTAACAAAACTAAAAAAATACAGTAAAACAACAGTAATGCACTACAATGTTATAATAAAAGGCTCGAAATTATTAAATAAAAGCATAACATAAACATCAATTAAACTAAATACAGTCTCACTGAATTAAAAGCGACAGAAAACAGTTGAGATTTTACACGCGATTTAAAACCTGACAATGAGGAAGCCGTTCTTATCTGGATTAGAAAGGCATTCCACTTTATACTTTATACGAACCCTGAAATCAACAGGCAGCCAGTGCAGCAAAGCCAAAATTATGGAGATGTGATCCCTCTTCCTCAAACCCATCAACAGGTGTGCTGCTGTATTCTGCACCATTTAAAGCCGGGAGAGGTGAGACTGAGGAACACCAAGGTACAGTGAGTTACAATAGTCAAGGTGTGACGCAATGAACGTGTGAACCATGGTCTCAAAATCATGTTTTGAGAGAACATGCTTAAACTTGGCAAAAGCTAGTTTTCTTCACAGCATTGATTTGCTTGTCCAGAACTAAGTCACTGTTGAGCATAACTCCCAGATTGTTTGTTAAAGGTTTGAAGAATAGGAGCCAGTGGACCAAGGTCTGTTGAACACAGCTCACTGGACACACAGGACTAAAAAGCATAACCGTAGTCTTATCATTATTAAAGTGAAGAAAATTGTCCAACATCCAAATTTTAACTTCATCAATTCCGTTTAGAAGAGGATATAAGGAACGAGGTATAGCTGGGTTTAATGGGAATGTAAACCTGAGTGTCATCTGCATGCAAATGGAAAGATCACCAATATTTCCTAAAAACAGAACCCAGGGGCAGCAAATAAAAGGAAAACAAAGATCCAAGAACCGATCCCCGAGGAACCCTGCATAAGAAAGGGGAATGAGATTATGCTAGGCCTCCTAAAGGGACACTAAATGGCCTCTCAGCCAGAGCTACTCTTCGAGCCCCAACAAAATGTTGCAATTGCGAAATCAGGAGACTGTGGTCCACAGTGTCAAATGCAGCAGACAAATCCAACAGTAAAAGTATTACAAAAGCTCCAGAGTCAGTAGCCAAAAGGGTATTAAGACCCTGAGTAGTGCAGACTCTGTGATATGCATTTTTTAAAGCCTGCCTTTCATTTGTTTTATGGTCTTTTATAATTGCATGACTTTATGATTTGAATCTATTTCTGTTTTAAGGTCATTATGATTTAATAACTTTATGTTTATTTTGTTTTTATCTATGTGAAGCACTTTGTGAGTATATGTCAGTGATGAGTTTTACATAAATACAATTTACTTACTTACTGCTTAAAATCTCAGTCAATTGCAAACACACTACTTTCCCCAGAACCTTGTAAAAGAATGGAAAAACTAAAGAAAATCCATTTTCTTGTTGTAACTATAGATATGTCCCAATGCCATCTTGTTTTTTCAATGATAAACTCAGTAAGTCTGGTTGAATTTTTGCTAAAAGATTGTTTTGTAGATATTTTCAAAAGGCAGCTCCATAAAGAACAGTTATGTTATGCAAACAACATATTTGCCTTCACTTATTTGTTTAAATAAACTTTTGACAAAGGACTCGCAATGTGATGTGTTATGATAAGCAAACTATACTGTTAATTTTAGCATGACTGTACGTGATTATTTCATGGAAATTTTAGCAGTTTTAGAAAAACCCACAATCTGACATTTTTACAATGGTAGTTTTGAAAAAGGATATAAAAATAGCATAAAATGCAAAAATAAACTCAAAACAAACAAGCAAACAAAAAAACTTTTTTATGCATTTCAGGAGTTAGGGTAGCATGTGAGGTCAAATATGCAGTAGTTTGGCTTCAGATAAAAAGACGTCCTACCAACATCTTTATCAAAGGAAATTGTTAATTCTACAAGTAGAGTAAAACAAACAAACTCATAATTTGAAGAAAAAACATCTCCAGTATAATGAGGCCATGAATTTACATAATTATCAGTACACTTTAAATTATAGGAAGACCAATGTAACTTGCTAAAGAAATGACCGAAATAGAAAAAAAATATGTTTTCTAATTCCTCTATAGCCTATATCAGTTATAATAAAATGTCCTTTAGAAAATATGATGTAACTTTGATGTTGTAATGCAAGCTCGTAATCTAACAAGGTGTTTACTTTTTCTTCCTTATTTAAATCTACATACCTGTCGCATACAGACATCAACTTTATTGGAAATCAGTATTTGTAAAATTAGTAAATGGAAGGAAAAACATGGTAAATTCCCAATAAAAGAAATGTGGGAAATTCAGTTTCCTTGTCAATTTCCAAATATTTTTATGCGGGTGTGAGGTGGATGAATATATATATATATATATATATATATATATATATATATATATATATATATATATATATATATATATATATATATATATATATATATATATATATATTGCAAGTCCGTATTTTGTTTACAATTTGCCTAATTGTCATTTTTGTCACGCAAACGATAAAATACGAGCCATTTGTTGTTTGGGTATCTGGAGACTTTTGTCCTTTTGAGCTTTCCGTACTCACGTGACTCAGCGCGCGGAACAGCGGTTTATCTCTGGTTTTTATTTGTTTGTAGGCAATGGTCTCCCCCTTTCCGTGTTTTCACAAGAACAATGGCTGTTAACTTTCAGAATTCCACTCTTTCGCTAACTCTACCGATTTCTTGTCAGATATGCCTCGGAAAGGTAAAAATTATGTTGTTTTAATTTTACCGCAAATCTTTGTGTTTTTACCGGATAAACAGCTGAGCGCTGCTAGCTAGCTAACCGGTTTAATTGGTCAACTGTTATGGATTCGATGAGTCAAGTTGTGCTTGACTGTGCTGGGGTTGGTAAACGGGTTATTCACTCGTGGTTTGCCTCTGCAGGTGAGACAGCCGGTCATTTGTGGCAACCACCACGTGTTCTGCTCATCCTGCATGGAGATGTGGTTAAAGAATGCCAGCCAGTGTCCCACCTGCAGGGTACCCATCTCAGCAGAGAGCCCGTGCAGAGAGATCATCGGTGAGTTCCTGGCTGCACTCATCAGAATAATAGAATTATGGAGGCAAACGTAATAAAACATGATGTTTGTTGTGTTATGAAGGCTAATTCAAATCATACTGAGGTCGGTTCTTTGTGGTTTCGGTTATCAGGCTCTCCTGTCGCAGCTTTGACAGAACCAGACAAAAACGAGCCAGTTGTCGAGTTAGTTAATACTGCCATTTTCTCCTCCGATACATATCCAGCAATAGTTGTGAATCACTTTAGTTTATCATTGAAACTAACAAGTTTTACTTTATGTGTGTGTTCTCTTTATGTATGATGGTAATTTTAGTTATTTGTTACTTTATTATTTACAAAACATAGGAACTTTTTAGATCAATATTTCACACATGTGCCATTGTTGTGTTGAATGTATTCACCTGTGTTTTAGCATGTTTGAATGGCAGTAAATTAAAGCACAATTGGCTCTGAAAAATGTAAACAGAACAACTTTTGTCTGATTGCTTCAGCATCAGGGAGTTAAATAAATCATTTTAGTGTGACTTGATCACGCAGTGTCGTAGAAAACATAGACCAATAATTTTGTTTAGTAGTCAATACTAGACATTAAAGTCTTCAGTGTGCAAAATTCTGAATATTCCTGTGTGGTGTTCAGTGTTGGGAGTAACGCCGTTTAAATATAACGACGTTCTTTTTTAGGTAACGGAATAATCTAATTACTTTTCCCGCTGTTGCAACGCCGTTACCGTTACTGGGGACAGAAAGTCGTGCGTTACTATGTGCTTGTCGAACGTTGAGCAACAGTGTGAGGCTTTCTGACCGCCACACTTCAGCTGCAGCCAGGGAGAGAGAGGTGTCGGTAACGCACTTACAAACACGATGATGATTGGCCGGGTGGGCGGAGACCCTCAGTGTTCTCACTGTCTCTGTCACTGCATGCACAACTGAGCAGTGATGGGAATAACGCAGTTTAAAATAACCACGTTAATTAAAAAATATTTCTTTCTGTAACAAGCAAACTAATTAATTACCGTCTTCTTTTAACAAAACGATTGTTTCTGTTACTGATAAAGACAAGCGTGCGTTAAGCAGCGCGGTGTGTTGAAGCTGTCATCAGCTGATCAGGAGCTAAAGAGGTAGACATTTTCATCCAAGCACATCACGGCCAGTGAAGAACGAGGAAGACGTGATGAATATCTACGGCTGCAGACCTGCAGATTCGTCTGCAGCCGTGCTCTTCTTAGCGTGACAGCGGGACGTCTCGAAGGTCCGCTCACCTGTTCACCGCTCAGACGTCCTGATCTTCTATCTTTCTAGATCATCCAGCTGTAGCCTGTTTCTGATCATGTCTTTAGTCCCGCTGTAGCACTGATGCATCAGTCTCAGACGTCATGGAGCTCAGGTGTTATTAGAACTACCTGTGTGTGTTTACCACCCAGCTTCAGCTCTTCTGTGGTTGGGTCTGACCCAAGTTAGTAAATGTAAGTCCTCCATCAGGCTTGTGCCTCTTCTAGTGTCATTTTAAAGGATTTTATTTATTTATTTAACCATTACTAGATTAGCAGCAACAGAAATGCTACTAAAACACACAATTATGTGAAGCTGGAAAAATGATAATACTGTGCAAAATTGCATTCATTTCTGTAATTTAACTAGACTGTAGAGACCATTTAAAGGCTTAGGAACCTTTACAGGTGTTTCTATTTGCAATTTTAAATTTTAGCTGATTGGGGTCTTGTTGAATATCACACAGTGACCTTTTAATAGTCTAGATAAGTGTAATGCTCCTGTTAGTAGTTCCTCCTGTTAAGTGCTTATTTATTTTAATTATTCAGGTTTATAAAAAAACATTTAAACATACATTTTATTATGTTCCAGTCATTAGTCATTTATATTTCACTATTGTAGTAATTCTTGCATGCTTTAATGAAAAAAAGTAACTAAGTAGTTATTTTTCTTTGTAATTAGTTACTTTTATAATCTTGTAACTCAGTTAGTAACTGAGTTACTTTTTTGACAAAGTAATCAGTAACTATAACTAATTACTTTTTTAAAGTAACGTTCCCAACACTGGTGGTGTTTCAGCAAGCTGCAGACTTTGACCATTTTTATACTTTTCTTTTTCAGACATTCTGTAATGGATGTCCAGCTGTGATGTGGATTGTTTCTCTGTTACATGACTAGATTTTAGCCAAGCTGTAATCAAGTAGTTGGCCTTGCATTGAATGCTTTGGTTCATCTAGAGCAGGGATTCCCAAAGTGTGGTGCGCACACCCCTGGGGATGCGCGAGCTGCCGCTAGGGGGTGCACGAGGTGAAAAGTGTAATGGCTGCGGAGCTCAGAGAAGTCTGTCAGATGTCACCATTAGCGTAGCCAGAAACTCATTTGTGGGTGGTCCTAAGAAAAAGTAAGTGGGCCCAATAAATGTAATTGAAAACAAGTATATTTTGTGCGTGCGCGTGTGTGTGTGTGTCCTCCGCATGTGCCCTAGCTTCATAATAACAATGCGCCGAGCTTCAGCACTCTGGCCTGCGCACGCCGATATGTTCCGTATTTGATTTTTTAACGGTGTTGGAGGAATCTGAAGGTGGTGAGTCATTCTGGCAGATTGTAATTAACACGCTGTCTCATGCAGGTGTTCTGACATTGTAAACCTCACACACACAACATTGTGGATGTAACTAGGGCTGCTGAATTAATCGAATTTTAATCACGATTACGATCTGAGTTTTGAACGATTATAAAAACAAAACAAGCCGATTATTTGCTCCTCCCGCTTGCGCTGCCCTGAGTTGCAAATGAAGCGCTCCTCCCACAGTGTTGCCAACTTAGTGACATTGACGCTATTTCTAGCAGCTTTTCAGACCCCCTTCTTGACTTTTTAACTTAAAAGTACCTGGCGAACACCTCAGAAACATCTCTGGTAACCCTTAGCTACTTTCTGGATAACTGTCGTTAGGGCTGCTCGATTATGGCAAAAATAATAATCACAATTATGGTGACTGAAATTGAGATCACGATTATTTAGGACGATTTTTCAATTTATGTTGATTTTATTTGTTTTTATTCAGTCATAAAATTGCTCAGGGCACAATCTTGACAAAAATAAGAAACAAGATGATTACTAAAATAACTCCTGATTCCCAGTATAAAAAGACCAATATACTTGTAGCTCATAGTCTATGACCCAAGGGCTATAGACCTTGGTTTAACTCATTTAAGTCTAACCAGTACAGACCCAAATACCAATATCTTGAAAATACTGACAGCAAGAATTATACAGTGGCATTTATAACAAATAAATGCAAATAAATTGATGTTCACAAAATGTTGCATAACATTTATTGAGTCGTGTCAAGGTGTTGTAGGAGAGTGCACTAGCACCGTGTCCTCAGAGAGATTAGTTACTGTTTATCAGCGTGAGGAACTTATTTCTACCTTATTTATAAACTATGTATTTACAAGTCCATCAGTTAATGTAATAATTGTCTCAACCACAGCTGCACCCCCCAACCCGGTCTCGGCAATCGGGGCAAGCTGCACGTGTGTTTAGCACGCCGCACGCGCACATTTAGCCGTTTTTAGTGGCTCAGGAGTCCGCAGGTGCGGTGTGTGTGTCTCACTCTGGTTAATCCAACAAGGAGCCGGCTCTGAGAGCTGTTTCTTTAGTGACAGACACATCACTACATCATTCCCTTTCCTAATGTCCTGAAGAACGGTCCGGAGCACAGGCAGAGTGTTTAGCTAACCTGCAGGAAATGTCGACGACAGTTATCCAGAAAGTAGCTAAGGGTTACCAGAAATGTTTCTGAGGTGTTCGCTAGATACTTTTAAGTTAAAAAGCCACGAAGGGGGTCTGAAAAGCTGCTAGAAATAGTGTCAAAGTTGCTAAGTTGGCAACCCTGTGGAGGAGCGCTTCATTTGCAACTCAGGGCAGCGCAAGCGGGAGGAGCAAATAATCGGCTTGTTTTGTTTTTATAATCGTTCAAAACTCGGATCGTAATCGTGATTAAAATTCGATTAATTGAGCAGCCCTAACTGTCGTCGACATTTCCTGCAGGTTAGCTAAACACTCCGCCTGCGCGTCCGGACCGTTCTTCAGGACATTAGGAAAGGGAATGATGTAGTGATGTGTCAGTCGCTAAAGACAGCTCTCAGAGCCGGCTCCCTGTTGGAGTAACCAGAGTGAGTGACACACACACCGCACCTGCGGGCTCCTGAGCCACTAAAAACGGCTAAATGTGCGCGTGCGGCGTGCTAAACACACGTGCAGCTTGCCCCGGATTGCTGTGAGACCGGGTTGGGGGGTGGGGGGTGCAGCTGTGGTTGGGACAGTTATTACATTAACTGATGGACTTGTAAATAAATAGTTTCTAAATTAGGTAGAAATAAGTTCCTCACACTGATAAATAATAACTAATCTCTCTGAGGACACGGTGCTAGTGCACGCTCCTACAGCCCATTGAAACGTCTCAATAAATGTTATGCAACATTTTGTGAACATAAATGTATTTGCATTTATTTGTTATGAATGCCACTGTA